GAGATTCTTGCGAAGGAGGAGCAGTTAATTCTTCTGAAGACAGAGACCTCTACACACTCTGAGTTGCTACAGCAAGAGATTGAAAGTCTGAATACACAAATTAAAAGTATGAGCAAATCTCTTGAGATTGCCCAAGATCAGGTTCAAGCTAAAGAAGATTTGATGGCCAAGCAGGAGAAGGAGAGCACTATGCAGATTGAGGAACTTAGAAAGCACAGTGCAGTTCTTGAGGAGGACGTTAATCGGCTCAGGGAGGAGATCCAAACTAAAGAGGGAGAGGTAGACATGTTAAAGGCTAATAACCACAAAGAGTCAGAAGTGCTACAAAATGAGATCCAGACACTCGGGGACCAAGTACAAAGTTTGAGCGAATCCCTGAAGACTACAGTAGAGCAGGTTCAGGCTAAAGAAAACCTGCTGACTCAAAAGGAAATTGAGATATCTCAGGAAAAAGAGAAATTTCAAAACTTGATGACATCCTCTGAAGGGGAGATAAGCGAGCTGAAAGAGCAGATTCATGCTAAAGAGGACCAGCTGGTCACTCTAAAGAAAGAGGGCTCCATACATTCTAATATGCTACAGCAAGATATTGAATGTCTAAAACACCAACTAGCTAATATGGTTGACTCTTTGACAAAGGCTGAGGAGAAGGTTCAGACTCAGCTAGTTATGCTCACTGAACAGGAGCAGGAGAGAACTCATCAGCAGGAGCTCCTGCAGCAACAACTGTCAGCTTCTGAGGAAGAGGTAAAGAAGATGAAAGGGGAGATCCAAGCTAAAGAGGAACAGATGATGCTGCTGAAGGCCGAGAGCTCAGAGCAGTTGGATTCACTACAAAAAGAGATCCAAAGTTTAAAGACACAGGTGGAGACTCTTAGCTCCTCAGTGAGGAAGTCTGATGAAGATATGCAATCCAAGGAAGATCTGTTGGCTCAACAACAAAAACAAAATACTCAACAGAGGGAGGCACTCCAGAGCCTACAGGAGAAAGTCAAACAAGTGGAGATTCTTCAGGAAGAGATTTCATCACACAACGAAGAGATTCAAAAGCTAAAAGAATCTCAGGGTGAGAAAGACTGTCTCCTTCTCAAGGCTGAGGAGAAGCTTCAGATCCTCCAGACTGAGTTGTCTGCTGTCAACACACACATAGCTGATAAGGACCAAAATCTGATCAATCTCAGAGAGCAGGTCGCTGCTCAAGCTAACTTGGTTCAAAAAGCAAAGGAGGAAGCTGAAGCCAATGAGAAGATGTTGGCTGAGATAAAGGAGGAGAGCTCCAAACAGACAGACGCTCTTCAACAAGAGATCCAACGTTTGAAAGGGGAGTTGGAAACCAGTTCTTTTAAAGAGCAGAGGTTACTTGAAACTCAGCGGGAGTCTGCTCAGCAGATAGAGCTCCTCCAGCAGCAGCTTGTCTCAGTAAATGCAGAGACACAAGCTGCACAGGAGTTGCAGGTTGTTGCTTTTAGGGAAAAGGAGACTCTTGTTGGAGAAAAAGAAGAACTGATGACCAGGATTCTCCAGGCAGAAAAACAACTTGAAGCCATGGTCTTTGAGAAGGAGAGACTTGTTCATGCCAAGCATGCCATAGAGAGAGAGAACATAGCCTCCCATAAACTGGAATCTGTGCTGCAACAGGAGTTGGAAATGTTGAAAATGGAGAAAGAAAAACTCTTGGAAGAGAGACAAAAGGCAGAAGAAATTGAGATTCTAAAGAGAGACCTTCAGGAACAGCTTTCAGCTAAATCGGAGGCTGCAGAACACTACAAGGCACAGGTTGGTGTGATCACTAACAATCACCACAAAACATAATACAATTCAGTTTCACTTCCTGTAACTCTGTACATGTCAAACTTTTTCTTCAGTCAGAATTGTTTATTTAGATCTTTACCTTTCTGACTGTTACTTGTTGACCAGTAACATCAACAGTTTATTTTTTTCTTGCACTATAGCTTCTTGTGCTACTTGGTTGCTTTGTCTGTTTGGTGTCAGATGGGTAGTCTGGACTAAGATTAATACTAATATATTTTTTTACTATCACAATGCCACAGATAGAGAAGGCAATGAGTCATTATAATAGCAAGAAGCAGCTTCTCCAGGAAAGCCAGGAGGAAGTGGCTGAACTCAAGCATTCCCTTGAGGTTAAGGAGCGCGAGGCAAAGGCTATTGCCATGGAGAACCAGATGCTTCAATTGGATTTGGACAAGGCCCAGACCAACGAGAAGAAACTTGTGGCTATGGTGGCCAGTTTGGAGGCACAGGTTGGTATTGTATTTTGAAGCCTGAACACACATGCTCGCTAAGATGAGACTGAAAATACTGTAATTATAACTAAAAGAAAGCAGGAAACTTCTAGAGTTCATTGACTTCAATAGCACATTTTTGCTGCATTTCAACCTGATCTCTACAACTACATCCGTTTACCTTTTTAGCTGGCCTATGCTGACCAAAACCTGCGGGCACAGAATAGGATTCATGGTAATGAAAGAAGTGGAAGAGATTCGTGTTACTTGGAGGTTCCCAACACACACACAAGTGTTCAGACTAGAGCACAAGTGAAGAGAACTATGAGCTTTGACAGCCTGGATCAGAGCTCTCTGGAAGACTCCCTGAACACCACAAGGTAATGCACCTGATCTCAGAAGTAGCATGAGCTCCAACAAATTAAATAACTTGGAAAAAGGCAGGAAAGCCATAAAATCTGCCGTCAGAGGCATAGTGGGAATCTATTGTGATTGTAATCTTGCACAATACTCTGTTCCTTACCTTTTGCAGGAAACTTTCAGCACCTGATGAATCGAGCACACCGCTTGTTCGCAGTTCGGAACGCTTGGCAGCCAAACGCCGTGGTCCACATACAGAGTCATTGGAAACCCTTTACTTTACACCTATAAGCAACAAACAGAACAACAGGTACGTCACAAAGTTGTAGCAATTTTGGTATTTAATGGCCACTCTTAGGAGGTTTTTCTGATTAAAAGTGAGAGCACTAGGTGTACTGAGCTCTCTTAAATTTATTTCAGTATATAGTCTATTAACTGAAGATGTGAGAGCGTCTTTGAGTTGCTTAGCTTTGCTCAGCCTTATTTGGGCTACATTACATTGTGAATATATGCTCACACAATGTTTAGAAAAATTCAGTTTCTTGTGTCTTTTTATTGTTTATTGATTCGGACATCAGTCCCCCTGTCATCTAAACACAATTTCAATTTCTTTCACTAGTGAAACTTAGTTTGTCCATGCTAGCATTTCTATTGCTTTTGTTTTAATACTAGATTTGACAACTGGTTTGAAAAAAGTAAAAAAAAAACATGAAACAAAATAAATACCAACTGTTTAAATCAATGTCACTATAGCTCATTAAAATAGAATTTAGAATTTAAGAGGCAATATGCATCCTGACTACAGGCTTCAAACTGTATCTTTAACCGGGCAGCAACAGATAATGAGTTACTTAAGATGCAGCATATCTAAATTTCATGATGTTAGTGTAACCAAAATCATTGTTATTGAGATCTTTCCTCCTTTTTAATTGTGTAGGACCAGTACGGAGCACCAAACTGAGCTGGATTCAACCCGGAAAAATCCAACTTCATCTGTCAAACGACGCAGGACCACGCAGGTTATTAACATCACCATGACCAAGGTGGAGGAAACTCACTTGCACACTTGTTGCATGTCTTGCATGTTCACAATAACACTGTTGAATAATTACTGACACATTATCTGTCTCACTCTTCCTCAAACATGGTCATTGTGATGATGAAGTTTGAATTCTTTGAGCACTTTTAGGGTTCAGCTGGTTCTTTAATTCAGTTCATTTAATAATACTTTTTATCTTTAACATTGTCATCCTTGTCTTAACTGTCATACTAAAACAATTTTAACAATAGAGCTCTGTGTACCTTGTTGTTGGGTACCCTGCTTGCGGTACACAGTGTAAAATTGCATTCAAATGTCTGAACCCAAATGTTTTGGCTTGCTCTTGGAAAACATCCCCACACTCCCACTGCAATATTGTTGTAGTTGTAAGTGGTTGTTAAACTCTCATTTGTAGAAAACCCCAGGCGGAGGTGAAGAAGATGAGACTTTCTACAGTCTGGCCTCAGCTCGCTCCCATCCAAACCTCTCCAAAGCCCACTCTGCGCGACCTGTGTCTGTGGAGCTGCCTGACAAACCTGCCAGAATGACTGGCACTACCAGTGACCAGCTCATCGGTCTTCCAGGGTACAGACGGAGCACAATCCATTTACAGCGTAAGTAGACACACAGCTTAATTATAGTACTGAAAGGTGAGAAAGCAAGTATGATGTCAGGCTGGGAAAAATAACAAGATGCAGGGCTAGAAATAAAATTTATGTTTATGTATATTTATTTTTAAGCCTTTTCAACGGCATGTATGTAAAAAGGAATTAGGGCTACAACTAACAGTTATTTTCATCTACAATTTCCTCAATTAATCAATGAATCATTTCTATCTAACTGTGAAATTTTTTATCACATAACTGGCCAAACCCCAAAAATATTCAGTTTACTGTAGAGTGAGACTAAGAATTCTCATTGAGAACTTGAATTGGTAATTTTCCCTAAAAGTTACTTGAATGGTTAATTGATTATCAGATAGATTTTTCAAATGTCTAACTGGGTAGGTAGTAGATAGTTTTGTAGTTAAGTGGCTTAGAGGCAAGACTGTCTCTAATGTTTACAACATGCCGTGCTGTTGCTCTGTGTTACTCTGTGTACACTGATAGAGCTAAAACAAAAACAAGCACTGTGAATCGACTGACAGCCCTAATTATTCATATTCATATTCGATTTTCCAAAGGTTGTCGATGCCTCTCTTATTTATTTATTTTTATGTCCGTATGTCTTCAGCTACTAGTACATTCTGCGTTGGGACAGAGAACGAGCCAGACGGTGCACCTGATGACTGGTTGAGGATTGCTGAGCTGCAGGCCAGGAACAAGGCCTGCCTTCCTCATCTGAAGAGCAGCTACCCTGTGGAGTCTGATGTTAGTAAAGAGGGACCCCTAGGGGACAGTCACTGAATTATTAGTAAAAAACAATGATGCATATTGAAATGTAATGGTCATGGGATACTTGTGAGTGTTAAATTATGCTGCACTTTCTGCCTTTAATTTCCTTTTTCCACTAGTTTTATTAAATCCCTCTCTTTCTGTTCCCGTAGACTGGCCGTAGCAGCACGTTCCTTTTCACAGACGAAGAACTCCGTATGGGCGACCCCTCTGACACAATCCGTCGCGCGTCGGTGATGCCTGGCCAGCTCCAAGAATCTCTCGCCTCCCGTCGGCACTCCCTCATGATAGGACACACAGGTGCCGCAGCCAGTACTCTTTCTCATCGTCTGTCCTTGATGCCGGGCCAGCTGCCATCAAAAGTTGTCAGCTCCTCTCAGCTGAGGAGCCCAAAAGGCTCAAAGCGGTCTTCATCTACGTTGTCCGTTCATCAGACTTCGCCTGAGGTTGGTTTACATTAGTATGCTCAAGAATATTTATTACATCTTGTGTTACTTAATGTTTGAGCTAGCAGATAAATGTTTGAAAGGCTACTGTTTAATGGATTGTTGACCTTTTTTATTTTTTTCTTCAACTTTTATGTTGTCCTTGTTGTATTTTTTTATTGTTTTTATTTATGATCCTTTTTGAGGATCATTCTCCAAACTAAAAGTGGTCAGGTTTATTTCATTGACAATCTGAAAGCTTACTCTTTGGTCATAATCATTGGACAGTTACAAAATTACACAAATTTAATATGAAATGACTTTGAGTATGAAGCTAACTATATTTGTCCAAGGCCCAGAATTTCTAAGCAGACAGTGGTGGGGGGGTGGATTACATTTAGATAAATTATACATATATTTTCCTTTTCTTGCTAAATTAATGTTATTTTTATTAGCCTATGTCAGTATGATGAGACTAAAGAACGTGGGAATTAATCCACAATGGTAACCACCAGTTAAATAATCCTGCTCTGTCTTTTTCCTAACTTGTCTTTCCCGGTCTCCATCTGACAGAAAAAGGTGAGGGCCAGCTGCTTCCCTCGTCCACTCACTCCCAAAAACAAGAATGTGATCAGTGGATCTTCCAGCTCTCAGCATCACACTGCTCTCACCCCAGTGAGTGTAATATACGCACACACAAAAACACACCTAGAATTTTTTATTCATGTTGTTGTTGAACGCAATCGTACACATTATGTTTTGCATGCTTCACTAACTACTTTTTATTATTCTCTCAGGCTGACCGGAAGCAGTCTATGGTGTTCACTATTGACAACACACCTAAAAACAGCAACTACCTAAGGAAAGGGCTGAACAAACTACGTAGCTCCACCCGAAAATCTCCAGGCAAAAGTTCAAAGAAGTCGCCTGCTCAGACATCTGCACGTACCAAGTGCCATGAAAACATGCCTCTGGGGAATTCTCGTGCTGGGGTGGGACGAGCAGGCAGAACTGGCAGCGTTAAGTCACCCCAGGTGGCAACTAAAGGACAGAGGAAGTCTCCACGAGGCACCAGCAGGACTACAAACTCTTCTGGACTAACTGCCAGTGCTCGCAAGGTAAACGGACACAGACAAGGCCATTCAGGGTTTTAGAAGGCACACTTAAATAATGATTTTGTAAGATACCCTGTGGTAGAGCTGATAACTCGATGAATTCAAATGTAAGTTTTAAAACAATTCCATGAATGGCTGAATCATATTATCAAGATTTAAACGTGGTGATTTGTTGCACATTGCCGTCAGTATGTACGTCACCTCACCTCCATCCTTAGTGTACAAGCTTGATCCAACAAAAACAAACCATACATGGACCCACTTGTGAGAACAGCACCGCCCTCATGGTCCAAAACTCCTAGGAGCACTTACTCAATGCTACCTTCACTTATTGCTGATAAGGTGAACGCACATCCACTGAAGGATGCATTTGCAAAACGTAGGATATGATTTATTGCAGAGCTATTTTACTTTACATTACATTAAATTGTACACTCATACCTGATACTGATAACTTTGAATATATTGGTACAAACTACTGCAGATGGATTATGGGTGGGCGTTCCTTATTAGTGATCTAACTAATGAAGGGTGAAAGAACTTGAAATATGTGTTCAGTCATATCTCAGTAACTGATGAATCTGAACACTGTTGTGTCACAGAATTGTGTGTCTGTAAAGACGGGAAATCTTCCTGGAAGTCAAAGAAGGTTAATATTGTTCATTAATAGTGGTTATTTATTTATTTATTTATTTATTATTTAATGTGGGTTTATTTGGTGGCTGGTTGTTGGTTCTCACATTATGCCATAATAACTATGGGTGTGTCCACATGTTTCTGTCAAACCACACTACACACTGGGAGCACTTGAGTTTCAGCTTTCACTAAATGTCATATTTATATTTTATTGAAATGTGTTTCTCTGTGAGCTGTAGTGTAATCACATTTTTTTATTTTTTATCCCACAGATGATGAGGATGAAGTTGTGAAGAGGCTGGTTCTCATCTCTCTGCACTTCTGCTACTTTACAGTTTCCTTTTCCAAAAATTTCATTTTTATATTTTTGTTGTCCTTCTGGACAAAGACTTTTACAATCATCTCCCTTAATTTCTTTATCTTCTTAATATTGTCATATGTTTGGTAATAAAAACATTTAAATTAAACATTGTGGGAAAGCCTCATAATTGAGCCCTTTAACCAGTTCTCAGAGTTGAGTCTGTGACTCTGATGATGTCAAGGATGATGCAGGTAATCTTGGGAGAGAGGTTCATATTTTAATACATCATAATATTCAGAAAACATCGTAGTAACTTGTGTACTATCCCACAGCTGGTTCTATGAATTAATGATTTATGGTTTACTGCTGGTTGAAGATGAGGTCACAGCCATTTTGCTCTGTGACAGACTCCGCATTGGTTTAAAGGACCTTTTTGTAAGATTTAGTGGCATCTAGTGGTGAGATCATAACCAACTGAAACCCGGTAACTCAACCAGGTGTGAAAATATGGTGGACAGCAAAAATGTGATTCTTACTTTCAGGTGATTATACACTAATGAAAACTTTATGGATATTATGTCTGCAAATAGATCCTCCTAAATGTTACACACTGGACCTTTTTTTTTAATTTTTTTTTAAAAATGTGTTTTAAGTAACTTAATTAATTCTGACAATTTGCTTTCAGGGCCAGCTACCAACAATAAAAATGAGCTGACAGACTGAGCTACCTCAATTTATTTTTGCCCACTTGTTTGACTGAGTGACCATATTTTATTACATAGGAAGTCAGTTTTGACCAATAGATTCCCTGAATTTAAAGCACTTGATTCCACTTCCACGGAGCAGCTTAAATAATCAAAACACCATCGCAAACATATTTTAATTTCTGTCAAAAATCACATAAGCTCAGTTTTCCTTTTATTAGGTTAACTCTTGAACGTGCTGTGGCAGTGATAATGGTATTAAGATAAATCTATAGGGGATTGTCATCCAAAGAAAAAAGACAAAATTGTGTCCAAGAACATTTAAGTCCAAATCAATCCGTAACTCATACAATTACAGTGTAATGTGAATAATATATTTATAAAGTAACTCAGCACCTGAGAAGGACGTCACTAGAGTCCAGACTCACTAACGCAACAGTCAGACTTCCGGTATCCCCTCTTGAACCTTCAGAATAAAACTAAAATAATTTCGAACTTTTGTTGTAGTTTTAATTTATCTCCATTTCATCATTATACCTTGTAAATGAAAATACTTACTGATTGGTCTAAACAATTAACATCAGAAAATTCTGTCCACCATATGAAGGCTAAATAATGGACTGACGGTGTCAAAGCCAGTTAGGGAGTAGCATAAATTAATTTATATTAAACTATATGTCTGCACCTGACATAACCTGTTTCATTAGGCTGTCATTTAATCTGTTGCTGTCTAAGAACAAACTATTAATGTTAACTGTTAATGTCTGCCAGATGATAATGTAACTTTAAATGTTGTCATTTAATATCTGATTAAAGGGGGGTATTGCAATTAAATAATCACGTGTCACCACTGTAAAATTGGGAGACAGAGAGAGCTGATCACTGAAGTTTTTTTTAAATCTTGCACAACCACAGATAAAATTGTTGCAACATAAGGATTTTTATTTTTACAGTGGACAGTTTAGACTATGGCTGATTATGAGTTCATATATTGATTTTCATACACACATACACGATAGATGATGACACAAGGGAGAAGTATATGTCAGGATGAATATTCTGAGACATAATTGGTGAATTTATGTGACTGCTGTTTGTGAGTGTTTGCATTATTTGTGGCTCATTATGCTTTTACTCTGAAGGATGTGTCCCGGAAGTGTTCCGCTGTTTTTGGCGGAACAGAAACTGAGTCAAAAACGAAAGTTAAAGCTGACAGTGAGGCGGAGAGGAGTTTAAACAGACCCCCGGTGACATTATCGAACATTTTATACTTTATTTTACCCGTATTAATTATTTGTTAGGGAAATATAACTCTCTAACGTCAACACTGTATCGATAAACGGGTTATGTTGACTAAAATAATGTTAGCATAACCGTGAGGGCGGGTAGTGGCAGCCTGTTGTGAGTAATGTTAGCACGGTGGGTCCTTTTCTTGGATAAAGTTACTGCGATAAGTAAGACTTAAGCTCGCTGTGAGTGTGTCCCCCTCCCCACACAAACATGGACCCGGACACTGAAGTGGAAAGGTGAGGTTTGGTGTTTGCCATCTTTAACCTGCTGTCACTTTACACGGTTTTTACTGCACTTCCGTCACTTAACGTCAAAGCACCTTAGCTCACATTATCAGTATTAAGTTAGTTGTTTGTGTACTGAGCTGGCTTTCTATAAGGTAGCTCTATTGTTTATTATATAGATATTTATGTAGGTAAACAACAAGTATCAATACTAATCTGTCACACTTTTAAAGAAGTTATAACTTTCAACTTTTTGGGCCAAACGTTTCACATCTTGTTAAACTACTTCTGTAAACATCAGCCAGACTTATCAGATTGTGTGTTCTAGTAAAATATTATTACTCATTGATTACCTATTGGACTAACTTTCCTTCTTTTCGTCATCCTCAGCATATTTAGGATTGGGAATGAGGAGGAGGATGAGGAGGAGAAGAAGAAGTGGATGAGGCCTCCCTCCAGCTATGGTTCAATGAAGAGTGAGAGCGAGAGTGATGTGATGGAGGAGGAGGAGGAGGAGGGTAACGAAGAACAAGTTGCTGTGGCCGTCTCTTCCTCATTGCCTATGGTCCTACCTGGATCGAGTATTAAGGACGGGACAGGGTACTGTGTCTTTGTTTAATAGTTAAGCGTTAGCGTCTATTTTTTATTAAAAACTAATGGTTGGAATAGTTTACTATTGTTTTGTTTATTTGTTTTTAAGTTTAAGGTTGCTTTAAATGACTTAGAAAGTGCTAATAGGAGGTTAACCAGGTCTTACCAGGTGGATGTCCCTGTTTCTGTTGCTAGGTTGCAGATGATCCGCTCAGAGTCTCCAGAGACCCTCTACACCATGACCACTCAGCAGACCCAACCCCCGGGGGCTGTTGTCATTGACACCAGGTGGAGGACACACACACACACACACACACACACACACTTGTTCATCATAAATCTGGACAATGTGAAGCAAAAGCTATGTTTACTTGTTGTTCTTGAGCTGATGCACGTTGATTTCATAATTTGTTTGTTTGTTCCTATGTTAATTTAAATTTCACATATTTAATTAATCATATTAATGTTACATAATGTTGTTAATATATTAATATCAGCAGAAATATTCATTCATTCACATTGCTCCCAAATTTGAAAGTAGTATGTGACTAAAAAATGCAACTTAATGGACCTGAAAGATTGCCACACAGTTAAGTGTACTTACATAGAGTTCAAGTCTCTTAAATTAGACCACTAGACTTTAATTTGTCATGCATGTTTTTACGTAAAAACCTGATTCAAACATTAGTTTATTTTAAATGATTTATTGTATTTTTTACACACTTTGTTTTTTATTTATATATGACAACATTTAATATTAAACATGTTCTATTTACCTATACAAGAGTTTACTATCTTTAAAAAGTCTCTTTCTAGAGATAGATGTGGCAGAAGCTGTTGATCCTTGGACGATATCTGCAGTGCACTTTATTAACTTCTTGTTGTCTCTTAGGTCGTCTGATCTGGAGGATTATTCAGAAAACGAGGAGGATGATATGGATGAAGTTTTAGTAACTCATTCCCCAGAACCACCTGAGCCTGTTGAACCAGATGACACAATGCAGATTGACGAGAACAGCCAGCCAGGCAGACTGCACCCAGAACAGGACCTGCCCCACATATTTAAGGTTGGTGCTTCACAGTCGGTCTGCAATGGAGATATTTTGGACTTTGACCTGGTGATGCATTGTTTTAGCTTACAATATATAATAACAAGACTGTTACACATCCCAATAACAGTCAATTTCCCAATGCATGCCTTGCTTTTTTTTTACATATAAAAAATAGATAAAATGTAATTGTTGCATTTTGATTTGGACCAAAGGGGCTCCTACATCAGCAAGACAACAACCTTTCTCTGTCTCTCTCTTTCTTCTGTCTGCAGAGTATCCAGGCTGCTGTGACGGCCCTTACCAAGGAAGAGCTATGTAAATTTAAGATGTGGTTTTACCAGTGGGAACCAGGCATAACCCTGCAACAGGTGATGGAGGGAGACATTCTTGATTTTGTGGACAGGATCCTGGAAGTCCTTGGTAAGAAAACTCAGCAATACTACATATACAGTGTGAATGCTACAAATACAGCTAAAATTTAGAAAACTGACTTTTGACTGTTGTAGTATAGTATAATTTAGATGTAAGATAATTATACATTTGAAATATAGTTAATTTTGCAGCTCAACAGGAAAATTACTCATTATGAAATTAAGGATAGGACCTTGTGAAGAGCACAGGTACTGATACACTGTCAGTGATTGCTTACTGTTTTAAATTTTTTTATTGAAACTTTCTTCTGCAGGCTTGTATCGTTCCTTGTTGCATACAATAAGCACCCTAGAAAGTATCAACAAGAAACCAGAGGCAGAAGATTTACGGAATCAGTGCAGGAGAGGCAAGTAAACACTGCTTTAATCCCAGCACACTGGCTGATACTGGTGAAATCTGTTTGTTCTGAGATACGCTAATTAAATCTGAAAGTTGTGGATGTGTCTTTGCTACTTACACAACATGGGCGCTGGGCATTAAAATGAGTCAGTTTGAAGCTAGCAATGCTTTGAGATATAGACACACTATTCATGGGCAATGTACACTGGATGAATGTTGCTCCACTGATGGATGCGTTATTCTGCATCAGATAATGTGAAAGTTCTTATTTGAACAGAAATTATATTACAATCTCCCTGCATTTAGTCAGTACGCAGCTAAAGAATTCAGGGTTGATCGTGGCATGTCTTTTCCTGTGAGAATGTGTGCAGCAGCCTCACATAAATGAGCTGTAGATGTCTGACTTTCCTCTTTATGTTTCTCCGCCACCAGCGTTGACCCGTTTTCATCTGAAGCAGTATTTGTTCAGAAAACACCAAGTCATCCGTGAGGGGGTTGTTCGAGCCGGGAGGCAGAATCTTCTAGATACTGTCTACGTTGAGCCCGAGATTTCCACCTGTGGTTATGGAGGCGTCGACCCCTCCCATGAGTTCCGACCACAGCCTCTGACTCCTCTCCAGGTCCCCAGTGCTGACACCTTTGTTAGTGTGAACAATCTGTTCCGACTGCAGAAGGAAGATGGCCAGCCGGTGAGGACGGTGCTCACCACTGGGCTTCCAGGAATTGGTCTGGGTGTCTCTGTGGCGAAATTCTGCATGGACTGGGCCGAAATGCGCGCCAATAAGGTGAGTCAACAAAAACAACACCAACGTAATTTTCAGTGAAAAAGCCCTGCACACTACCTTCTCAGCTCTCTGTAGGAAACATGCAAATGGCTCTTTCTCATAAGTAATTGTTGAAGTTTAGTTTTTGACTTTTCTGTTCTGTGACTGACACAATTTCCCTTTCCATCTTCGCTCAGGATCTGCAGTTTGTCATCAAACTTTCTTTCCGAACTTTCTGGTATCTGCGAACCAAAAACCCACTCCATTCAGAGAAGGTGTCCATCATGGAAGTGATAGAATATTATCATCCTCAGTGCAAAGGCGTCAAATACCTGGAGGAAGAGGACTGTAAATTTCTCATCATAATGGACGGATTTGATTGTTACCAAGCTCCTCTGGACTGGGAGGTGTGCCATCTACACACATTTACCATATAAAGTTTAAAATCACCTCCCCAATGAATTATTGTCCTTTAACAAACACTAAGCAAATCATAATGATGGATACTAAATCATAAGAAAAGAGACATTTTTGATGCCAATATCCATTGATGGAAAAAGCTTTTGTTCATATCAGTAATAAGTAGGGTTCATCAAAGTGCAAAATATAAATAGCCAGGCTACTTACTGGTTCCTAATCTAACAAATGACTATAAACTAAAAATATATTTGTCTATTCTGTCTTGTTTTCCTCTCTCCAGAATGCCCCAGTAATAAATGACAATTACACCCAAGCACATCCTGACGTTCTGATTGTGAATATCATCCGAGGCACTGTGCTTCGAGGTGCCCGCATCTGGATCCTGGGGAGACGGGCGGCTGTCTCGCAAATACCGTCTCAATTCATAGACTTGGTCACGGAAATACAGGGCTTCAAGTATGTGTGTAGATCTACTGTGTGTCTGTCTTGTCTATATATGTGTGTGTGAGTTTTTATTTTTTATTTTTTTATCTTATTATTGTATTTGCTGCTGTTTTTGTGTTCACTTAATGTATATGCCATTCTGTAAATATGTTTGATCATGTAAGACTAATACTGCTGAAATGTTACAGCCGAGTTTAATTCATTTCAACCTGTTTAAGTACAATTTCATCCTATTCCCACCTGTTTTCTCCAGTGATGCGATGAAAGATGAATTCCTGACTAAGCGCTTTTGCGACGCAGAGCTAGCAGCGAAGATTGTGGCACATTACAAGCGCGTCCCGACGCTCAGAATAATCACTCGCCAACCCTTTGTGTGCTGGATGGTGGCCACAGTGTTCGAGCGCTGCTACCGTTATCGGGACTATGGGGTACATCCCCCCAGGCTGACACCATTCTACGTCACCATTTCGATCGTCCAGATCAATCGCAGGCTGCAGTTCTACTATAACATGCCGGACAACGCCCTGGTAATGTGTGTTTGTCTGTGGCTTTTTGGGCTTTTATTGTCTTTAAATTGTGTTCATAATGACTTAATTTACTACTGCCATTCACATACCTTTTTAAAAGTAATCTCAACCTTTCATTACCCATTAATCGTTTTATTTGGTACTAGAATGCTGTTCAAATTTAGTCATTTATTTTATACCAGCAGATATTTATTAATCGTAGTTTGGGGGATACAATATCTACAATTGATCTGAAATCAGTGTCTTGTTAATGAAGCTTGTCATTTGCAGTATTTGTTGAGTATTATAGTTTTTGTGTTTTTTGTCTTCCTTCATATTACAATTTAGTGCAACAATAATCCAGTATCAACAAAACCAAAAATGGAGCTTAACTGACTTAAATGTGTAAACATTTGTCAAGATAAGCTAATGAATATCTCAACTTCAGCAGCAGAATTTGTCATGTCGATATCCTCTTTCCACTCAGAAATGGTCCAATGAAGACAGGAACCTATTGACAAAGTTGGGGAAGATGGCCTTTAAGATGCTGGAGAGGAATACCAGTGTGTTCTTTGAAGAGGACGTGAAGGAGTACGGTCTGAATGTGACCGAGGTGACCGTGTTCTCCGGCATGTGCACTGAGCTCCCCAGTGCATCCTCAGATGGGCGGAGGGTGTACTGCTTTATACACTTCACCTTTCAGGTAAAATATTTCCATCTCACAGACGCTAGACGCTGCACTGTGACATGTGACACCTGGTTTGGTCCAATATGGAACTTAAACAAGTGTGATAATGTGGAAAGAATTGACTTTGACTTCACTTATTTTGTGGAAAAACCAGATCAGACCTAATGTATTAGACAAAGAATATTATTTTAAATTGTAAAGTGTGTATATACTGTACCACCAAGGTCAGTGTTCACTAGGTGATTTTTAACAGGCCAAAAAACAAAAAAGGTGGCAGGTGCTGAGTATTGTTTATCTGATGCGTTTGTATTGTATCAGAGTATTAAACCCAGTGTAATCACAATTCAAGGAGGTGGGGAAAAGTTGAACGAGGTTTTATTTAGATATTAATAACTTACAGTGTCACAACAGGTGATCCTCAAAAACTTGTATTGATCCCAATTTTGGCTGACTTTTCCAGATATTAGTATTAGCACTATGCTGTGTTCTAAACTTAGTTATCACCACCTGATGTAAAAACTACTTTCTGATTTAAAACAAATATTAACAACTAGAAGTATAACTTTAGCTTAGTCCACTATGAAAAACATACACACACAGATCAGCCATAACACTATGACCACTGGCAGGTGAATTGAATAACACTGGTTATCATGGCACCTGTCAGTGGGTGTGATATATTAGACAGCAAGTGAACAGTGAACTGGAGACTCATTGATTCACATGGGGAGCGAAGGCTGGCCTGTGTGGTCCGATCCAACAGACGAGCTACTGTAGCTCAAACTGCTGAAACAGTTAATGCTGGTTCTGATAGAAAGGGGT